AAATATTGTATGGATAAGTATAGAGAGGGCCGGGCCGCGAAATTTTGAACAATGGACGAAAAACAGGAGCCTATACTTGTTTTGTTACATATACAATATATAGTTCGCTGTTTAGACGAAAATAATTTGTTTATTTCAGATTTTCAGTACAGTTTTGAACAATATTTCAAATGAATGTCGAAGTTCAAATACAGATGTGCGAACAAATTACACTGAAAATTGGTTACGGTAGAAGTACGTTTTCACTAAAATATCTGTATCAGTAAAGAATGTGTGTTTATACTGAAAGTCAAGTTTGTCTGCAGTGCAGAAGAATCGTAAATGTTATAATAGAAAATTTCAACTTGATGTGTTTCACAAACTTCAATTCTGAAGAAAGATGTTAGTTGTTTTTTGCATATTTAAAATTATAAAACGAACAAAAAAGTAACCGACTTGCGTATGCAACATACTGTACAAATACAAGAAATTGGTCTTGATGTTATGTTTTACTTCAAAGGTGATTGGTAGTTTAGTTGAAAGGAAGTCTCGATGTTATGTTTTACTTCAAAGGTGATCGGTAGTTTAGTTGAAAGGAAGTCTCGATGTTATATTTTACTTCAAAGGTGATTGGTAGTTTAGTTGAAAGGAAGTCTCGATGTTATGTTTTAATTCAAAGGTGATCGGTGGTTTAGTTGAAAGGAAGTCTCGATGTTATGTTTTACTTCAAAGGTGATTGGTAGTTTAGTTGAAAGGAAGTCTCGATGTTATGTTTTACTTCAAACGTGATTTGTAGTTTAGTTGAGAGGAAGTTATAACAACCGGTATTAAACTCTTTAGACCAAATTATATTTTTATGAGTTCATATCACATTATAATTTTAAAATGGTACTGTATATATTTATACAGTCGACCAGGAAGTTCACCCAATCAGAGCCAATGAGGTAACGATAATAAATAAAAGATAAAAGAAACATGATAATTACTAATGGATTATCTACAACTTCGGTAGATCCGACTAACGAGGTCACCGCACCAATCATGCATGTATGGACTTTATAAATTGCAATGAAACTGGTGCTACTGACCACTTCTAATTATACGGCTAAAAATTTTTACAAATGAAAAAAATAATTCGGACTTAATTCAAATACTCATCGTATATAAATGTAAAAATGATTATGCTATCAATAATTAACATCATTAGTGAAGGATATATAATTCTAATAAAACGAAGTAACCATATTATCGTATGTTTTGTGTGTAATGTGAATGGATCTTCTTGTAACAATATACGAAACTAGTATGACCAAAGAAGTTGGAATATCTAAGTAAGACTTTCTTAGTAAAATATTCCAATCTATTTGAGTGTGAAAAACATAAGAGGAAAAACTCTGATGTGACAAAATAGTAACGAAATGTTAAGTATGTGTCTAGTGGCAACGTGAACTAAATGAACATCACCTTCTTTAACCTCATGAGTCACGTGATCCCAGTGTAGTTATCACAATAAGCTGTATTCTTTTCGATAACTCATTGTGAGTTATGACACATGCACGAGAGCCAAGAGGTCATTATTACAGTCGAGACCAGGTGGAACAGAGAAAGGTCCATGTTTAGTTAATGGCAAGTGTGGTTGTATTTTTTCATACTACACAAATTATACGTCAAGCGCTGGTCAGTGTTGCTGAACACTGAAATTGGTTTTGTGATTAACGTATCTGATCTTAGTGTTAAACAACTACCAAGTGGGTGACATAATATATTATACACTAGATAATAAATTCAGAGGTTCCGTGCACAAATCTTAGTTGTGGGTTAAAACTGGTTGAAGAATACTGTTAAATTGTCATGTTTTAGTTCAAGTTTAATCAGATAAGTAAGATCAAATTTATTATTGAAAATTCAATTTGGAATCGTTAAGCAACGCCATGACATCTTTGTCAGAAATATTTTGTTACGGTACAAATGCGTGTACCTAAATGTAAAAATAAATATACAATTTATTAGAAAGATCCATAGCTGTTCGTTAATTATCAAAGTGTTAGTAAAACAGGATAATTTAAAATAATTCGTAACATGCAAGAGACGTTGCTGTGTTTTGAAACAATGTAAGTTTTTTTTAAAATAATATAGACAATTTACGAGATATGTATCAAACTGGTTGTTATCGTTAGATCGTAGAATGAGACGAAAGTCACTAGAAACTCACCTGAGAGTTAATAACATGGATCCGACTTCTGAAGTTGAGTGAATAAGAACAAATATGGAGAATATTATAATATACCACACTAGATTGTTGCATTCTAGAGGACAGTAACCGTTTGTGGCAGTGGTGTTCTTCCCAAGACATTGGCAGTTGCTGAAGGTAAACTAAGTGTCAAAAAAAATATTTGTTCTGTTCAAATTCGATGAAACTCAGAAAAAAAAATATCATATTTTTGCACAATACGTTAGTTATACTAAAATTGTTTGAATATAATTATCAGAGAGTTATACTTTACTAAATACAGTGTAAATATGAGAAGTAGTAGTATTTATAGTAAAAGTCGTAACAAGAAATTGTTCATTTAAACAACGTTTTTTATCTAAAAGGAAACACGGAATTACATAAGTTATCTGTGTTCACGCATTTAGGGTATTCCAGTTTTTCATCTAAACAGTTGTGCGAAAAGAAACCTGCTAATAGAAGACAAATAATGTATCAAGTGGAAAGAACCAACATGAAACCGACTGTAAAAACATACTTGTGCCTCTCTATACCTATCCATACAATATCTCGTGTATGTGCCTCTCTATACTTATCCATACAATATCTCGTGTATGTGCCTCTCTATACCTATCCATACAATATCTCGTGTATGTGCTTCTCTATACTTATCCATACAATATCTCGTGTATGTGCCTCTCTACACCTACCCATACAATATTTCGTGTATGTGCCTCTCTACACCTACCCATACAATATTTCGTGTATGTGTTTCTCTATAGTTATCCATACGATATCTCGTGTATGTGATGGCCAGGTGGTTAAGGAACTCGACTCGCAATCTGAGGGTCGCGGGTTCGAATCCCTGTCACACCAAACATGCTCGCCCTTTCAGCCGTGGGGGCGTTATAATGTGACG